ACTTAAAGAATATCATCTCTTTCTGAAATTGTATAATGAGTGTCAAGTTAACCAGCCACATGTCAGTTTTCATTGGGACAACCCGCCCCCACAAAAACCAAGGAACAAATCTGAATAGCTAGAGATACCAACCTAGTTCTTTCCCACATACCAGAACCCAAAGCGATAGGTGACTTTGGAATTGAAATTAGCATCATGACATTTCTACACAAGTACTGACTGACATTAATATATCAGATTTTAATTTTATCTACATTTTCAGAGAATCAGCTTGAAAATATGCAAACAGGTCAAAACCTACTGAGGCTTTTACTTGACATTAGAAAGGTAGCATGTTAATTTTCCAGTTATTTCATAGGTATAGGTTCAAATTCTGTCACTGATTCATGGTGAAATAAATACTGTATTTACTCAAATCAAGATGAGGCTCCCTCCCCCTTCCTTCCCCCCCCAGCATTCAGCATGGGGTAAAAAAGCTCCTCATCTTACATTTGCATAAATGGAAACCTCATTAAATACACTGTCTATTATTAAACTACTGTCAAAATCAGCATGTGCTCAACAAAAGAAAACAACTATCAAGTTGGTTTAATGCAGCCAACACTAAGCATGACTATAAAGCATAGACCATACTAGACAAACATACTGATGGGATTTTTTTTTTTAATAATATATTTTCTGTTCCAGGTCAAATTAGCCAAATCATACAGATTGAGCAGGATTCAATTGTTCTAAAAAATTGTGATTGAGCAGGCAGAACTCATTTGTTCTAAATACCACGTTTGATGCTACAACAGTGAGCATCCTCCATCCCAGACTGTCACCCTGGGACTTCAGTTACTCCCAAATCCATTGGCAGGCCAGAGGTTTTAGGATTTGGATGCCCGCTACACTTGATCTAAGCCAATATGGGAATTTACCACAAGAATAGGTCCCTCTCAGTGCTGACTCTTTTTCAGATCATGGTCAGCTACTACACTGAACACATTTCAACTTTATCTTCACTCCCACAGCTGAACTTCACCTTTCTTTCCCACTTCCAATGTCTCACGTTTCCTCACCAGCCTTAAATCCCCGGCAAATATAATCAAAAAAGGCCCCAAACAGTCCACTCAGAATCTCTCTCTCACCCCTTCTCTCAGCCTGCCCTGTGTGATTAGTGTGGCCCTGCCTTCTCTGAGGTTGAGTCAAACCAGGTTGAGTGGGAGGCTAATTAGCACCTGGATCCTTTGTGAGGGGGAAGGGTGGTATCTGGTAGGGGTACGTGAAGCATACCCTATTCAATTCAAATTTGGATTCAGCCCGAATCAGGAACAGTGATTCAATTAATTGATTTGGATCACTATCCTTGATTTGATTCAGCCAAATCTGAAGCTGAAGATTCAATGCTGATTTGGAGAATCAGTGATTCGGACACAGACACAGATTTAAAAGTTTTTTCTACATACCTTGAGGTAGCAGGTACAGCTGGTGATTGCTGGGATACTGAAACACAGACAGCATCCCACAGGAGTGCGGGGTGGGGTGGGGTGGGCCCTCCATGTGCTCGGCAGTAAACCTGGAAGCACTTCTGGTCCACTTCTGGGTCTGCCGGGGAGTGCACTGGGTACCCCTCCTCACACCCCCCCAGTTTGGCGATTGGCCACAGGTGGATCCCGGGTGCCCATCCCAAACCTAGGAGGCAGCAGTCACTGAAATGGAGAGGGCATGGGGGGCCCTCCGATGTGCTTCCCAGTGGACTTGGAAGTGGACCAGAAATGCTTCTGGTCCACTTCAAGGTCTGCTGCTGAGCGTGCTGGTGAGCCCCCCATGCTCCTGTGGGATGCTCCATCCACCCCAGCATTGCAGCATTCACAAGCCACCTGCTGCCTACAGGTATGTAGAAAAAAGATTTAAAGCTGTGTCTATGTTCAAATCGCCGAATCTTTCTGAATCTCTCCAAATTGATTTGGAGGGTTCCAATTCAATTTGGAGAGATAAAAAGGTCCTTTGATTCAATTCAGATTTAGAGATTTGGCCACCAAATTGGGCCAAATCTCTGCCGAATCAAATCAGGGATTGAAGCTTTGCACAGCCCTAGTGTCTGGAGTACACGCACATACTGAGAAGTGCTGGGTTGTGGGGTAACCATGGCTTGAAATGCTGTTGACTCTGCTAGGGCCCAGCCTAATGAATTTATACCATCAATTGTGGGTCTTTTGGCTTTGGGTTAATATTATTCATAGTTTGTACTATGGGGGTAGGGATGAAAGGAATGGGTTCCCTGGTCTGAGAAACCAGCATTTCTGTGTGTGTGGTGCATGGGGCAAATATTGTAATGGGTCTGGGTGGCCAGCAGGCCTTTCTACAGGCATGCAGGCTGCAGGGGTGTGGATTTTGTAATGGGTTTTGTTTTTTTTCTCTGTGAAGTGATACTTAGAGTGTAGATATATATAACCATAGATAGATAGATAGATAGATAGATTTTTCCAAAAAAAAAGTTTGTATAGTTAGGCAGAAAATTACGGTTTAAAAGTGGGTGTATGGAGTATCTATGCTAAAACTTGCAGCAGTTTCAGAAAAAGGTAAAATACACCACTTCTGGATGAACAAAGTGTGTGGGTACCCGTAGTAATTTTCCTATGTGCAAATGACTACAGACATGTTTATTTCAAAATCAGGGTTTTCAAATTTGCCCCTCACTTTCATGTGCCCAGGGAGAGTAGGGTCTGACAGTAAGGAGAGGACAAGGAGGCTGCAGTGGGAAGATGTCAAGGGGCAAAGGGCAAGGGGGCTACCTGACCTCCAAGATTTATTTTCCGTGTTGTAGCAGTGGGAGGGGTACACATTCAAGGCAAACCTCCATTAATTAAATTCTATGCCTAGAAAGTTATAACAAATTTATACATTTTTTTTCATATATAGAAACTAATTATTTGGTGGTTGTCTTATATTTGAGATCATCTTATGTTCAAGTACACACGGTAGTACTGCAGAGGGCTGGTGCATCTGAAAAGTCAGGCCACTTATGTATGGCATTTAGTTTGCACTAACTTTCACGGGAGTGAGGAGGCAAACTGTTACCAGTGTCTTTGATCATGTCCTTGACTAGTACAATAGAAGAGCTGCTGATAAACCATTACACTGAGGCACAGAAAGGAGGCAGCACCTCAGAACAAGCCCTTACATTCTAGGGAAGGGTGTCAGGATTGCAGGGGAAACATGGCATTGCAATAGGACAAAGTAGGTATTGGAAAAGGCAGAAAAGGTTGTGCCAAAATATAGGCACAATTCTTCAGTGAGAAGGAACAGATAATTGACTTGGATCTTTTCGTGGGAAGGTACAGCTCCTTATTGAGTGGCCTGCAACTACACACTACAATTTGTTGCTATGTTGAAAGCATCAAGTATGCCCCTAATAGCAGAGAGACAGATTTCAGTAAAGAGCTGTGGTGTTTTGGGTAGTATGTAATCATAACCATAAATAAATCATTTGTGGCCTGGTGAAATGCTGAAATGAAGCTTGAAGGTGTCTACTTACAAACTATGTAGTTCTTTTATCACTACTAGGAAAACATTTGTGAAGTCACAAATGAAAATAACTTGTCAAAATGGAAGCAGAAGACCAGAAATAAGGATGTGACAGGATAAAAACACCTTCTGAATAATGGGAGAGGAGACTTATAATGCAGGGGAAAGGATTGTGAATGAATCCATGTATGTGACTTTGAAAGAAGCAACATAATAGTTATGTTATTGTAACAATACGAGAATGGGAGATTTAGAGAACATTAGGTTCTGATCCATGATGGAACAATGAAATCCAGCTTTAAGAATGAGGCTTAGACTTATTTATAGCTCATCAACATATTTCACTTGAACCAGGCTAAATGTGTGATAAAATGCATTCCCATGAAACTGTGCCAAAGTTGACATTTTTTAGTAAAAAAACCAAACCTTTTTAAACCCAGAAATCTCTTACCTAACTACTTCCAAAGCAAACAAACAAAACCCGTATCATCATTACACCAATGATTTCTTATTAACTAGTGGAATAGCCTATGCTGTTTGAATCTTTATACTACTAATCTTAATAAAGGCTTTTTGCAGCACTGGTACATAAGCCTAGTAAGGAGGGCTTTATTACTGATCCCAGCATGTGTAAGTTACTTTGCAAATTCCCCAAAGTAAATTCACAGTTCAGTCAAACAACAAAAAGAAACAAAAAACATCCAAAAGACTCCTAGATGGGGTTTCCAGGAGGTGCTGTTCTCTTAGACTGATAGCTGTTAATTTCAGAAAGGCATTTAGAATACTCCAGGCTGAATATTTTCTGAAAATTAATGCCTTAATAAAAAAGTGTAAAAGCAATAAACCCATGAGATTAGCAGTAGAGCATCTGCTAAGTAGTTTATTTTTTATGCCGTTATAAAGTCTGATAAAGGGGACATGCAGAGTTAGTGCGTGTGTCACCAGTTAACACACATTTATTTCTCCATGAAGAATTAAAATATTTACTATACTGTAATACGTTGCCAATATTAAATAATTCCATCAAAGCCAAAACACATAGAGTTTTGCTCATCCTCAATGAAAAGTGTAGCATTAATTTCTGGTAACTGTAAAACTAAGCCAGCCGATAAGACCTCTGCATTCAATTCTCTTCAGTTCTTTGAAGAAAATGAAAGCAGTGATTCTTCTTGGAGAAATTGTTCAAATCTAAGGACTCTGCTCTCTGGCTCACAACTCAATAAAAGCTCATTAACTCCACTTTGCTGTAACTTGGAAAATGAATGCCTTTTAAGGACACCTCACAGAGGAAGAGCTTCATAAAGTACATGCTTCTTTACAGCCAGTGAACCCAAACACCAATGCTTGGAATAATTTATTTTGCTAGATACCCATGAAATCAAAGAATATGCACAGGGATGGCTTGGTTTTTAGCTGGGTAGCTACAAACAACCTTTACATACTAGTTCAGAACATATGACAAGAATTACAAAAAGAAGGGAAAGCCTTACCGTGTCATTCCTGATCATGTGGTCAAACCAAGATGGCTCTTACGTACTCCATAGGGCTGACTCTCCACTGTAAAACATAAATATACATTTCTGAACTGGGATCAGCACTGTCTGAAGTACCACATGCAAGGCAGCACTTATACAGGTTCCATCTGTCGAGAGAAAGATTCATATAGGACAAATCCCGTTCCCTTTCAAGGCCAGGGCCTCCTTAGCATTGACTGACTTAAAGAGTCTATCCAGGGTTGCCAACTGCCTATAAATTTACAGACAGTGGGGGGGGGGGG